CTGATCCCTTGGTTGTCCTGCATATGCCCCACGAGCACCCTTAAGATGAGCTGCTCCATGATCTTCCCCGGTACCGAGGTCAGGCTAACAGGCCTGTAGTTCCCAGGATCCTCCTTCTGGCCTTTCTTGTAGATGGGTGTCACATTGACAAGCCTCCAGTCTTCTGGGACCTCCCTTCTTAACCAGGACTGCTGATAAATGATGGAGAGTGGCTTGGCAAGCTTTTCCGCCAGCTCCCTCAGTACTCTTGGGTGGATCCCATCAGGCCCCATAGACTTGTGCGTGTCCAGGTGGCTTAACATGCCCTTAACTGCTTCCTCCTGGATTATGGGCAGGTTACTGTGCTTTCCATCCCCATCTTCCAGCTCAGGGGGCTGAAATCCCCTGTGGATACCTGGTCTGGCTATTTAAAGACTGAGGCAAAGGCGGCATTAAGTACCTCAACCTTGTCCTCATCCTTGGTGACAATGTTCCCCCCCATATACCCAGTAAGGGATGGAAATTCTCCTTGGATCCAGTGAGATTCTTCTCACTGATAGCTGTCAATAAAACTCTTTGTCCTGTTCTCTGGTCAGATTTGTGATGAATTCACCCCGATCTCAGCAGTCAGTGGTCTGATTTATTATTACAGCTGGATGGGAATTCTTTGAGGGAACAAATGATGGAAAGATTTGAGGTTGGACTGGACAAATTCTAGAGTTCTCTTCCAAACCCTGCTCAGAGCAGGACTAACTGCAAGACTAGATCAGGTCTTTGTGGTTCTCCCTCTCTCTTCCATTTTTTTGGGGAAAAAAATTGTTTCCTTGTGATGTGGAAGGAAATTTGGTATTTTCCAATGTGGATTATTTTTTTTATTCAGTGTGTTTCCTTCCATGCAATGTGAGAGTGTTCTATTTTTCATAAACCAAAATGTTTCTATTTTGTCAATCTTATCCATTCCCACACTCTGAGCTATTGATCAGTCACCAGTCTTTCCCTTCCTTGCTCTAATTCCTAGATTGTGTACTTGTTAAGCAATTTCCTATTAATAGCTTTAATTTCTGCAAATAAACTCCGGAGGAAATGTTAAGATTTTCCCCTGCAATAAATAGGAGAGGAAGGAAATAATAAAATAAAAATATTTTGGGGCTTAGGTCATGTTTGTGTCAACGAGTGTTTTCTGGAACTTCTGTGGAGCTCATGGGTGCCATATTAACATGCCCATTCCTATGTGATTCCATGTCTTCAGACTGAATTTCTATTCAGGCACTGTACTTTCTTTCCTGGTTAAAATGTCACGGTGTGTCATGGTCACATAGCTCAGGGCAAATGTAGCCATGCTCTGAAGCCACTTTAGAAAGGAGAATAGCTTCAGAAAGCATCACCGCAGTCATTGGGAGTAGACAATTTACAGGGAAGTCAGAAAATCCACTCACGTGCAGGTGAGTTCATCCTTCTTGCCTAAGATGTCCTTCAACATAGAACATTTCCCAATCAAACTACTTGTGATCTTTCCATATGAAATATTACTATACTGTGCCAACACAGTCCAAGATAAAAACATTTTAAAATAACTGGTCAGATTTTAAAAATATTTTTTCAGTCTCTACTAAATATTTCCTGATTTTAAGCCACAACATGATTTCAGTGACAGTCTCTATTTGCACCTATCAGCTCTGTAGGATGAGGACAAATGGAGTTTCATGACTGCTGCTTTTTGTAGTTGAGTATATTCCCAGGACTGTTTGGCTGTTGCCACCCATTCCTTGATTCATGAGTGGTCTCCTGTCTCCATATTGAATCAGTCACAGTCACCAGGTGAGACTGGGGTGTTACTACAGCAGTTATTTCAAAGATAATATTGAGATCCTCTGCTAGGAATGGTGTGCAGGTAATGGAAGAGTTTTGTCTCTTTGTATTTCTAAGTATTGTGCCAGGGTTTAGTTAATGGGCAGTCAGGAGACCCAGTGAGGTCGATGAACACCTTATTTTGCCTTTCCTGCACCTACCTTCTCCTAATCCTTCTCCTGTGCAGGTTTTAAGGAAACTGCCTTCCTCTATGCAGTGTCCTCCGCAGCTCTTACTCACTCCCTGGCCAGAGCATGTAGTGCTGGGCGCATGGAGCGCTGCACCTGCGATGACTCCCCAGACCTGGAGAACCGCAAGGCCTGGCAGTGGGGCGTTTGTGGAGACAACCTCAAATACAGCACCAAGTTCCTGAAAAAATTCTTGGGTCAGAAGAGGATTGGCAAAGACCTGCGGGCCAAGGTGGACATCCACAACACCAATGTTGGCATCAAGGTGAGGAGCTACAGCAGGCCTAGAAAGAAGTTAGGTCTTCTAACCCATCCTCAGCCGAGGCTGTTTGTGAGAGGGTTATTCGCTGCCCCTACTCACAAACCAGACCTATTTACCACTGTGTTACGGACCTTATGGTACTGGGAGCTTCCTGGAAAGTCCCCTGAACTCTGGTGTGAGGATTTGCATATTGAGTGGCAGAGTAGCATCCTGTGTGCTCTAGAGGTACCAGGGGCTGAGTGACAGCAATATGCAGCACGGTAACAGCTGTAAAACTCACTGGCTGAATTAGTCCATGGGTTGTGCCATGCCCACAGGGAGTTTTGAGAACAGCTAGAGCTTCAGAGCTTGTGGGATGTTTGAAGTAGATTAAGGATTGACAATCCTGAGATCAATTTTTAGTCTGCTGGCAATTTGCTATGGAATTAATCATGTCATAAGTTTGGGTCAGGGAGACCATTAGATCAAGCATTTTGGCCTGTATGTGACAGACTACTGACTTGTCATTGTTTTCCATTTACTGAGTCCAATTACTTGTTTGATTAGAACACTACCTTGATGTGAATATACCATATGGAATCAACCATGCTGGAGATACTCAGTTTCATGGTTGACTACTACTGCTATTACAAACAGGCTTAGTAAGATTTTCACTGGCTTCAGTATTGAGCCATTTGTAGTCATTCAAGCTTTCTACTCTCTGGCTCACCAGTTAACTCTGTATCCATTTCTCTCTTTGGTTTTTTTGGTTTTTTTTTTAACTTTTTCCTCCATAAGATAGGAATAATACCAATAAAACTGAAGTAATTCCAGGCTGTCTGCAGCCTGAGGTGTTGCCTCTACCCAGAAATAGGCTCATGGTCCTGGCAGATAATGACTACCACTTCTCTTCTTCATCAGGCTGTGAAAAACGGTCTCAAAACCACATGCAAGTGCCATGGTGTCTCTGGCTCATGTGCTGTTCGGACATGCTGGAAACAGCTTTCACCTTTCCATGAGATTGGACGATTGCTGAAGCTGCGCTACGATGATGCTGTCAAGGTCTTCAGCACCACCAATGATGCTGTGGGACACTCGGAGCTGGCTGGCCCACAGAGACACAGCCATTCCCCGAAGCACCCCGCTTCACCCCGATCTACTGACCTGGTGTATGTGGAAGACTCCCCCAGTTTCTGTCGTCCCAGCAAATACTCCCTGGGAACTGCTGGGAGGACCTGCTCTCGGGAAGGCAACTGTGACAGCATGTGCTGTGGACGAGGCTATAACACCCAGAGCCGGCTGGTTACCTTCTCTTGCCACTGTCAGGTGCAGTGGTGCTGCTATGTTGAGTGCCAACAGTGCATGCAGGAAGAGGTGGTCTACAGCTGCAAACAGTAAAGTCAGTGCTAGGGGATCAAGACAAGTCCTAGAGTACAAGAAAGCAGTAGGGAGAGGGAGACATGATTCTCTGCTGTGGGGTGAGGGCAAAGGCGAGCACCAAAAATGTCCAGTGCTCCTATAATCTCAATGTTGAGATCCTCCAATCTGGGGAGAACCCCTGTGTGAGGGGTGAAAACCAGAGGTTTTGTCAGGTATCAGATCAGGAAGGAGGGACAGAGAGTGGGGGTAATGTGGGGACAGCAAGAACACTGAAGCAGTCAAAAATATCTCTCTTGAGCTAAACATGCTCTCATCTGCAAGAATATTCCCCTCCTCCATCCCTCACTTGCACTTATGTAAACGCATTGGGGTGGTGACATTGAAATACTGAGGGCTTGCGCCCCAATTCCTGGAGAGAAGCGAAGCGAATTAAGGGACTGGGGAGGCAACTAACCAGAGACTGGATCCTGATGGAGCAGGGACAGCCGTGTTCCCGCACCAAGGCAAAATGACTGGCAGCAGGGGATTTTCAGTGCTGTTCTCTGGGAGCTGGTTGAATCCTTTCTGCTTTGAATTCAAAGACACATTGTTGAGTAGTCTCACTTTGATGCAAGAATTATGCCTCAGAAATACCAGTTTACAAACAGATGGAGCTCATGTCCATCATCTCCCAGGTCTCTGGTTTGGATGTTAGACTCCAAGTGCGTTTTAACCACATTTTAACCTTGCTGTACACAGGAGACCTGTAATTGCTGTTGTTACAGTGCATGTGTCTCAGGAACTCAGCTGAGATCTGCGAAGTTACCCCTCTGCAGCATGCTGCCTCGCTGGGGGTTATTTTATGGTGGTGGATCTAGGGTGATGGTGCCAACTATGCATCCCTCTTCCCTCCCCCCCTAATCAGACTATCGATCGCCTTTTTGTATACGTGTATCACTCTTTGCCCTGGTGCCCGAGGTGCATCACATCCCACAGTTCTGCCTTGTGCTAATGGCAGGTAAAATTTCTGATAGGGAATTAGGAACCATAGGAACTGGGGCATCTTAAAAATTTGCAAGTGACAATCTCTGCACTGAGAAGTCAGATATATCTAGGCTATGCAGGCATCT